GATAGCAAACTTGAGAGTTTAAACTTAGTTACAACGTCGCTAATGTTCCTAATACTTTGCACGCCTCGGAAGTAACCTTCGTCAAATTAGCCTACAGTTTATTTCGTCGAAAAAAATATGTTTGTGGTGCGCGTATTAAATCAAAATGCACCTTACGTCCGCGTGCGAGTGTCTGTATCACTTATCCCGTTACGCGCCTTTGTTAAGACCGCTTCTACTGTAGGGTTAGGTGTTATGAGAAAAAAAAATTCTTTGATATTAGTTGATATATATTGTAGAATACACCAAGGTATTATATAATGTATTTATTTATTTGTAAAAAAAAAACATTACCCCCACACTAGGACTTTCTCCTGTATCGTGGAGGCAGTTGACAAACATAAATTGCACATGGACAAACATCTAGATCTGCAACAATTATTTGTAGGCCATACAAATACTTGTTCCGTACGGGATTCAAGCCCGCGGCCCCCGCATTGCAACTCATTGCTAAGCTGCTGCACCACAGAATCATCAATTTGCTGATAATAAAAACTTTATTGTTTAATGTGAGGAAGGTTAATATGCAACATCAAGGAAAATTAAGATTATAACAACGTGAATGTCTTTGAAACTCAGATAATTTATTACCTAGTTACCATTTTAACCGACTTCAAAAAAGGAGGAGGTACTCAATTCAACTGTTTTTTAAGTGTGTTACCTCAGAACTTTTCCGAAACTATTTTAATGATTCTATTTTTATTTGAAAGCTGGTGCTTATAATTTATACATCTCATATAAATATATAATAAAATCAAGTATATAATAAAAATAAAGATCTGACAGTAGTTTTGGAGTTATCCTTAATAATGCATAATATTAGTATTGAAGTCGGTGGTACAATTTTTTTTGTTGTCTCTCTTCCTCTCTTTTTAAAAAACGTTACCTCCACACTAGGATTTTCTGCTGTATCGTAGGGGCAGTTTGCATACATAGAACACACCCAGAACAATTATTTGTAGGCCATACAAATACTTGTTCCGTCCAGGATTCGAACCCGCGGCCCTTAGCGCTGCAACTTATTGCTAAGTCACTGTACCACGGAGCCATCACTTGTCTGTTTCACATTTTTGCTATTTAAAAACATGCGACACGCGACTTCATTATTAATTAAAGAGTGGTAATGAGAAGTGCTGCTACTATCAATCATTAAAGTGTATATGCTGATCTTGCGTTAGTAGGCAGTCACTAGTACTGGGAGGTCTACTAACACTAAACTATATTTAAAGGTCATTGGCATTATACGCGAAAAAATCGAAAACTGCGAAGCTGTGGTCAGGTCACTAATCAAATAATAAATCTGTAAGTATGGCATCAGTAATTAAGTACCTAATTATCTAGATCTACCTATAAATAATAATATATTACCTTTCGGTATCCTAAGGAACAATAAAGAATGAAAATACGACATTCCGATTGTTATATAAGCACCCGTATGCTATGCAGAAACCTCTTGGCTTTTTGAGAGGCCATACTTGAATAAAACTCAAAAATAAATATCAAAAGTGCCTAAATACTTATTAGAGAAAAATAATCAGCTCGAGCGGGTGCGAAACAACCTCACAGAATTAGCCCCGCATGCGGGGCAACGTAGCGTAGGTATATTTTCATGTCTAATGCGCAGAGTGAGATACATAGGCTGCACTAAAAGTATCGAGCATGGAATATTTCCACTGTTCCTGTCATATTAAAATCTTTTTAATTGAAAACCCCTTGGTTTCAAAAATCGAATACCATTTATTTATTTAAAAAAAGATTGTCGGTCTTGTCACAAGGTTTTGTCAAACTTGTTTAGTCGTTCAACGACTAAACAAGTGCTATCTTATTATATATTTATATGAGATGTATAAGTTATAAGCACCAGCTTTCAAATAAAAATAGAATCATTAAAATAGTTTCGGAAAAGTTCTGAGGTAACACACTTAAAAAACAGTTGAATTGAGTACCTCCTCCTTTTTTGAAGTCGGTTAAAATGGTAACTAGGTAATAAATTATCTGAGTTTCAAAGAAATTCACGTTGTTATAATCTTAATTTTCCTTGATGTTGCATATTAACCTTCCTCACATTAAACAATAAAGTTTTTATTATCAGCAAATTGATGATTCTGTGGTGCAGCAGCTTAGCAATGAGTTGCAATGCGGGGGCCGCGGGCTTGAATCCCGTACGGAACAAGTATTTGTATGGCCTACAAATAATTGTTGCAGATCTAGATGTTTGTCCATGTGCAATTTATGTTTGTCAACTGCCTCCACGATACAGGAGAAAGTCCTAGTGTGTGGGGGGGGTAATGTTTTTTTTTTACAAATAAATAAATACATTATATAATACCTTGGTGTATTCTACAATATATATCAACTAATATCAAAGAATTTTTTTTTTCTCATAACACCTAACCCTACAGTAGAAGCGGTCTTAACAAAGGCGCGTAACGGGATAAGTGATACAGACACTCGCACGCGGACGTAAGGTGCATTTTGATTTAATACGCGCACCACAAACATATTTTTTTCGACGAAATAAACTGTAGGCTAATTTGACGAAGGTTACTTCCGAGGCGTGCAAAGTATTAGGAACATTAGCGACGTTGTAACTAAGTTTAAACTCTCAAGTTTGCTATCAGAGAGTGAGCCCTCTGTTCTTTTAACTATTATTTATTCTGTGGTTCAACCTAATCTGTGAACCAAAAATTAGAAAATGTCATGTCAAGGAATCCAGACGATAAATGTTTTGAGACTAAATAGTGAGAGACCGTCACGTGAAGAAGATATTGTTGTGCGCCACAATGAATGCATGGTACATGGCGACGATAGTTACCACTAGTGCCTTCTAGTAACGAGTAGCAGAACTAGGAGAGTCAAGATCCTTCTAGAAATTTCCATGGATAAACTTTTTAGAACTATCGACACATTTTTTACGTGGTAGAGCCATGCTGCAGCTATATTAATAGTATAGTTGTAGCACGAATGGGTCCGCTCGACCAGGGAAGGACCACGCCCTCACATAATACCAGCGTAAAAAAACAGCTCAATGCTGCTGTGTTTCGTATGGTGAGTGTAGAGAACCGGAGACCCATTTTACTGGAAAAGAGGCATTCTGTCTTAGTCCTGGCTGATGGCTGACAACAAATCTGCATTTTAATTCGCAAACGAAGATAGATGTAGATGCCTATGGGCCACATTAACCACTTACAATCAGGTGAACTGTGTGCTCGTTTGTCACCCTAATTCTATAAAAAAAAACTTAGTCAGTCGGGACCGGTATGTACTCGAACATTCCAGATGTTTCTACCGTAGAAGGTTCTGGAAATTAACTGAGGCTCTATATAAGGTCTATATGAGGTATAGACCGCGACCCAGTCAGCATTGAATTGGCTATACAAGACATGGTGAGAAATAATGTGATAAGAAAAAAGTGTGGTTTGCAAGAAGACGTTGTGACCAGGGTTAAGAAAGGATTGCTTCGGTGGTTTGATCATGTGGAAAGAATGAACGAGAAAAGAGTGACAAAGCAAATTTATGTTGCAGAAGTGAACGGCAGAGTCAAGAAGGGACGCCCTAGACGAAGGTTTATCGACCAAATTGGCGATATATTGAAAATGGGCCAGATTAGGAGTACCCTTAACCGACGAGTGTGTATGCGTAGATATATGGATGTAAAGGAGGCGAGAGAGGTGTGTCAGGATCGTGCCTAATGGAAGTCCGTACTCTCTGCCTACCCCTCTGGGTGACAGGCGTGAGTGTTTGTGTTGTTGTGTGTTTACTCGGCAGTTTTTAATTGTCTTGAACCCCAAGCTCATAACAATATCGATGACGACATTTTACCCTCTCCGACTCACTTTAGTGGACGTTGGGAGACCATATTCTCTGTACAAGTAAATTTTAAATATCAGGAAAAATAAGACAAAATATGAAATATGAAGATGATTAAATATTAAAGATAAAAACAACACAATTATTCAAAAATATTCATTTACAAGTATTGAAAATCAACAACATCTGTTCATAGAAACAAAATCTAAAGTGGACTTGCGCCACAGTTAACTAAACTCTAGTTAACTTAGTTTTGTCAGTCATAATCCATTGAATTAGAATCAGACATAATAACTGTATCACTTTCAGTATCCGTTTCTGGCCCAGTGGAGTCGCTATCGCTGCTTTGACCTAATTAATTATCTTTCGTAAATTTCTCCCAATCTATCTTGTTCCCAATACTTTTGACGCAAGCGATCCACGTGGTGTATTTCCTTTTTCCAATCACTTGGTGTTATACTTTTGATAGCATTTTGGGTTAAGTTTAATATTTCTCTTTCGGATTGGGATACATTTTTTTCTGCGACGCGCTGTTTTAATAAATTCCATATATTCTCTATGGAATTTAAATCGCAGTGATACTTTAGTAACCGGAGCACTTCATGATCATGTCTTTTTAACAATTCGTCAACGTAATGTGTCTTAGGTGGTATTGTTATTTCGATTAGATGGTATAATTGTTTTTGGTCATGTTTTCATCTACAGATCGTCGTTTACAGATAACCTGATCGATCGACTACAGATAACCTGACTACAGCTAATTCCCGGTTAAATTCTATAATGGAATATTTACAATGCTGGTTAACTGATCATGGTCTATCCCTCTCTGTTTCCAAAAGCAGTATAGTGATTTTTACTCGCCATAAGAATGTCCTTAATATTCCAGTTTTATATAATGGCTTACCTATTCCTATTCGGGACAAGGTAAAATTTTTAGGTATGGTACTAGATAATAAATTATCCTTTACACAACACATTGAATACATTTCTAAAAAGTGTGAGAAGAATATAAATATTCTTCGTTCCCTTTCAGGAGTGTGGTGGGGATCTCATCCTTTTTCACAAAATCTACTATATAATGCTATAATTCGTAGTCATTTAGAGCCTTGCAATAAATCGTCTCTTAAAACTTTAGACAAAATACAGTATAAATGTCTCTCTTTACTAGTCCACTCTTTAATACTCCTTTCAAAGCTATTATATATCAGCCTAACATTCACCTTAGAAAAGGTTTCCCTGAAGCAGATTTAAAATTAAAAGAAGCCATAGGGAAAAATTGGAAAGATTGGATGACCATGTATACAGACGCATCCAAAAATACTGATGATGGCTGCACTGGTGCAGCTGTCTGGATCCCCAGGTTTAAAATAATCCTTAGCTTTAAGTGCCCTTCATTATGTTCCATTTTTACTGCTGAGACAATTGCAATCCATGAAGCTCTGCTATATATTGAATCACATAGCCTAGACAAGACAGTGATCTTTAGCGATTCTAAGAGTTGTTTATCTGCTATTTTGGCTTAACTAAAATTTCAAAGTAAATATAAATTTCCCCTAATTCTTGATACAAAAAGCATTTTGTATAGGTGTCATCTTAAAGGGATTTCTGTCTGTTTAGCCTGGATACCTAGTCATAGTGGTATTTGTGAAAATGATAAAGCAGATTTGTGTGCCAAAGAGGCTACTAGAAATGACACCCCACTAAATGTTACTTATTCCCATGACTTGCTGTCACTTGCTAGGAAAAAGCTTGTTAATACGTGGAATGAGATATGGAAAGCATCACAAATACTAAAAGGCAAGCACTATGCTGCTATACAAGATAATATTCCATCAAGACCTTTGTTTTTTATATTTAATAAAGCAAACAAACGTGCCACCTCTATTGTCTGCCGGTTGAGAATTGGACATGTCTGTACCTATGTTCACCTAGCTAAACTCAGGATTAGGGATAGTTCTCTGTGCGAATGTGGTTTAGATGAGGGAAACACTATTCATATTTTTTTTAACTGCACCAAATTGTCATCATCTCTTTACGATTATCTGCCCCCTGACATCCCTCGTCCCATAGACTTGAACTCCCTTCTAATCTTCACAAATACCTCTTTTGTATATATTTTATGTGATTTTATTAACTCTAACAACATTAAACTATAATTTGTTTGTCATATTATAACACATTTGTATTGTTCTAACAACATTGTCTGTCTTTTGTTTTAGGTGATTCAGCAGTTAAGTTGACCAAAATCATTCACATAATATTCGTTTGTTACCATTTCTTGTATTATCAATTTCCCTTTTTAAGCAGAGTTTGTGTCCCAATTAAACCTTCTCACATGTAACATGTCATTGGTGAATTCATCGTAACCGCCATAAAGGAAGAAGAAGAAGACATTGGGACGTCGAACACCTCAGTCCCCCCCTGTGACCATAGGTGTTGTAAAGTGCTTGAAATGTCAGGAATATAACATAACTTTATATATGCGATAAAATCCGTAAAATATAGTTTAATTTAATTGTGTAATATTTGCATATATGTAAGAAATCATTTTGACATCTTTGTATTAGACTAGGAATATTTAATAAATTTATTATAAATTAAATAAGAAGAAATGTACCTACTTTATGTGGTGGGCTGCTTTTCTGTCTGTCTTGTACTCAGTCTGGATCTGTACCATCCTCTGACCTATTCATGATGCTAATACAGCCAGTATAATTACACACTGTAAGGCATTCTGTCTTAGTACCCAGAGGTGACAAAGCATCTGTTGATTTTTATTTATTTAAAGCAGGTATTAATATGCTGCAGTATCTATTTCCCATCAGGTTATGTACGTTTGTTACAAAATTTTGAAGAAAATAATTATTACTTTTAACAAAAAGTAAAAACGTTTTATAAGTGGTAGAGCTACGCTGCAGCTAGTTTGTTAGATTGAATCGCAAACATGGATAAATGTAGATGTCTATGGGCCCCAGCAACCACTTACCATCAGGTGGACTGTGCTTGAGTGACAAGCGAGCACACAGCTCGCTTGTCACCCTTATATCACAAAAAGAAAAACTTCTAATTGCTAAAAAGGAAGCTATTTACTTGCTACCCTTAGGAGTGGAATTTTTTTTCAGCAAATTTATATGGGACCACCCTTGAAGTATAACCTATTCAATAAAAAAAGAATCATCAAAATTGGTTTACAATCTGCGAAGATATTGCGTAACATACTTACAAAAAGAAACATACCCTTGAATTGAGAACCTCCCCCTTTTTGAGGTCGGTTAATTGCCTCCATGGGGGGGGGATATTTACCATAATTGACATGCTGGACAGGCTTTAAGTTGTTAAAGTTAAAACAGTTAAAGTTACAGCCTATATAAGCCCCACTGCTGAGCACAGGCCTCCTCTAATTACTGAAACTCCTCTCATTTCTGAGAGGGTTTTAGGGGAAGGAAATATCCGCCGCACAGCCCCAATGCGCGTTAGCGAACTTCACATGTCTTCGAATTTTTTTTCTTATTTCTCAGACATGCAGTTTTCCTCACGATGTTTTCATTCACCGCCGAGCACTTGGTAAATCAGCACTTAAAATTGCAATTAATAATTTCATTTGTGCCGGGGGTTTGAACCCGGGTTGCTCATGTATTGTGAAATTTAAAGCCAGGGCTAACCATCTGAGCTACCACGGCTCACGCCTCACAGTTTTACTTGTACAACATGGAAAATAAACTTTTTGGTTTTATATCCATTAGACGGCTCCGTGTGCAGTGGCTTAGCAATGAGTTGTTGCGCTGGAGGTTGCAGGTTTGAATCCCACACAGAACAAATACTTGTTCCTTGCAGGATGTTTGTCCTCATGCAGTTTATGTTTGTAAACCCTTATACTATTAAAACAAATTGTCTATACGATACAGGAGAAAATCCTAGTGCTGAGATAACATTTCTTAATATAATATTAAAAGAAAATTATAAGATTACAGATGTTAAGGTATGGTATTTTTGTCTATTACATTTATTGTATAATTACTTGGTTTAGTAATTTTGTAAAATTATTTATATATGTTACTGCTTAAAGATGGGACAAACTGCCACTAAAGTGGTCCTGAAATAATCTGCTATGTACCACAGTGAATTAGTACAGCTGATCTGACTGTGCGGAACTGATTTGTTCTCGTTTGTCACGCTTATTCTATAAAAAATCGGGGTGTGGGTGTGTCGTGGACATAGCTGTGTGTTTTAAGTGAATATGTGTACGTAACGATACAACCTCAGAATGACAGCGCTCCCCCCACCGTCACGCGTGATGCGTCATAGTCCTCACTCAATGTTACAAATTCGTTGATCCTTTAGCTGTGGAGTGGTGTAATTAAATGTTGGATGTAGATGATAGACAGGCAGCTGCAACACCTTACTGTATACCTCGATTTTATTATTGTCAGTTTTCCAAATTGTCTCCCACTATTGAAGCAAATTTAAAGATATTTATATTCACTTAAAATATATTGCAAACAATATTGTAGGTTATCTCATTTCGAATTAAAAAAAATGTACTCATTCACACCAAACTTATTTTATTAATATTGATAATTGTAACTTCATTACATTAAACTTCTACGATACTAAAGTAAATGTTAATTTTGGAAAATTATTTAAATGTTCATAAATAGTTAACTAATATTTTGTTTTAATAATTAAAAAGTTTGTACAACCAACTTCAATATAAATTATTAAGAATAACTCAAAAGCTATTGGTTAGACTTTGATCAAATTTATATGGGACCACAAGAGAAGCCTCAGCTTTCAAATAAAAAAAGAATCATCGAAATCGGTTCACCCAGAAAAAGTTATGAGGTAACATACATAAAAAAATACAGTCGAATTGAGTACCTCCTCCTTTTTGAAGTCTGTAGAAAAAAGGGGGTTTTCAGGCACTTCAGTTACTGTAAACGTAAAAATAACCCGGCATTCTGCACATCATAGTTAATATTAGTTCTAATTGATGGAGCTAGTTTTTATAAATCAATGCAACATTGCTGCAAGTGTGGGCAGCAGAAGCTGGTTATAGGTTGGTTCGTTTGTCATTTTCAAACCTTGTCAAATTTTATAAAAAGAAATATTCTGCAGGGGCTGCTGACGTAACTCGATACAGCGAAGAATCTGTTAAAGTCGACGATTCAGTGCAAGCGCTGCGGGAAACGGCTGGTGATAGACAAAAAGCAGGCCACCGTGCAGTACTGTGAGTACGTATCTTCTTCTTTTTCATTAGCTCGTAAAAATCCACTGTTGGATATGCACTTCTACGGTTGTAGGCAAGTTTTGTCATATTCTTTACGCCTGGTTAGCTGCTAAACGTCAGGTTATGCAATTGTCAATCCGCTAACCGTTAGCGGATTAACAATTGCAGAACCCGACGTGAGCACGCTTGACGCTGCTCCCCGTCGTCGATCTGGGTATTTTACGTCTGGTTTATACGAGACGGTTATACCGCTTACTTACTTTCTTAAGATTTTTCTTGTATGTGTATGTAATAGAGCTGTGATTACTGATTAGCATGCGCCGGTTCTTTTGTTATCTGAACAGAACCGGTTCTGCAGGCCATTTTCGTCATAGTCATCGTCATTATCATCGTCATCGTCATCGTCATGGTCGTTGTCGTCATCGTCATCGTCATGATCGTTTTCGTCATCATGGTCATCATCATCATTATGATCATAATCGTCATTGTCATCGTCCTCATCCTCATCGTCATCGTCATGGTCGTTGTCACCATCGTCATCTTCATGATCGTTATCGTTATCATGGTTATCGTCATCATTATGATCATAATCGTCATTGTCATCGTCCTCATCGTCATCGCATCGTCACGGTCGTTGTCGCCATCGTCATCGTCATGATCGTTTTCTTCATCATGGTCATCATCATCATTATGATCATAATCGTCTTTGTCATCGTCCTCATCGTCATCGTCATCGTCATGGTCGTTGTCACCATCGTCATCGTCATGATCGTTTTCTTCATCATGGTCATCATCATCATTATGATCATAATCGTCTTTGTCATCGTCCTCATCGTCATCGTCATCGTCATGGTCGTTGTCACCATCGTCATCGTCATGATCGTATTCGTCATCATGGTCATCGTCATCATTATGATCATAATCGTCTTTGTCATCGTTCTCATCGTCATCGTCATCGTCACGGTCGTTGTCACCATCGTCATCGTCATGATCGTTATCGTCATCATGGTCATCGTCATCATTATGATCATAATCGTCATTGTCATCGTCCTCATCGTCATCGTCATGGTCACGGTCGTTGTCGCCATCGTCATCGTCATGATCGTTTACTTCATCATGGTCATCATCATCATTAACAGTGGTAGAGCCACGCGGCAGCTTTTGCTGTCGCACGGATGGGCCGGCTCGAACCGGGGTAGTACCACGACCTCACAGAAAACCAGCGTGAAGTAGAGGTTTACCTCTGCGTTTCGCTTGGTGAGTGCAGGTGGCCGGAGGCCCTTTTTACTGGAAATGAGGCATTCCATCTTAGTCCTCACGGGGGACAACGCATCTACATTTTGATTTGTAAAAGAGGATAGATGTAGATGTCTATGGGCCGCAGCAACCACTTACCATCAGGTGGACTGTGTGCTCGTTTGTCACCCTTATCCTATAAAAAAAAATTCATTATCATCGTTAGCATTGTTATCGTTTTATCGTCATCATCATCAGTAGTGCACTGCAGAACATTCACGAACACTTTTCTTCTGCCTTCATCAACTTCTAAGACTTACTACGTGTAAACTATGCAGGAAGAAGAATCCACTACACGCTCAATTAACCCGTAACGAAGCCGCTACTAGAGTATATTTTTTCTCTGTTGGTTTTTTTCCTTGGTAGAGCCATGCCGTAGCTATTTTATGGTTGGCTCGACCGCGGCAACATAAAATAGCAGCTTAATGCTGCTGTATTTCGTATTTCGTAGTGTAGAGGATCGGATACTGGAAACAAGGTAATTCCATCTCGGTCCTCAGGGGTGAGAAGGCATCTGCATTTTGATTCGTAATCGACTATAGTTGTAGATGTCTACAGACCACAACACTCACTTACCATCAGGTGGAATGTGTGCTCGTTTGTCGCCCTTAATCTGTATTAAAAAAAAATTGC